TAATAGATAGAGTGATTCTTAAGGAAGGTTTGTATGTATAATACATGCATATTGCACCCGTGCGAAGCCGGGGCGGGTCGCTAGTTAAAAATAAAGTGATAAAAACAATGGGTGTGATTTTTTTAATGAAGAAAAAATTTTTTGAGTCATAATAACAAATTCACACTCATTAAGAACTACATTTCATTTTATTCATATAGGTAGGTACTTGATATTTTGGTGTTTATGCTACTTTAGGATTGGAAATTCGGCGATTAGGCTACTTCATGCATGGGAAACGGCGACATTAGGGCCAGCAGTGCCAGCACCGTTGGCAACACTGTTTATGTTCTGTGCCGACAGCGGTGGCGATAGGTAACAACTTTGCGCGAGTGCGACTGCGATTGTGAATCGTTTTTGAGTTATTCATATTATTTTAGAAGAAATTGTTTAATATAAATTAACAAAAAAATTAAATAAAAATTTCACACAATGGAGACAGACAATTTAACTAAACAAGTAAGTTTATCAAACAAATGAAAGAAAATTCCTGTCATCGGTTTTCAGTCGTGATATTTATTTACTATTTTCTCTATAGGATGAGGAGATTGAGGCATTAAATGCTATATACGGTGACGATTGGACCATGGAGAGCGACAAAACGAGATCGTATAGCATAAAAATATTGGAAAAAGAATATGAAGTTGTTCTGTATGTGACTATGCCCGAGGATTATCCTTCGCAGTCACCACCCAGCTACGAGTTTTCTGCTCCATGGATGGACAGAAAAGATAAATCAGAGCTGCATCAAGCCTTAGACGAAATCTATTTGTAAGTATTAAATTGACTATGCTTTTGAAAAAACATTGCTTAATGTAACCTGTTGAGGATCTTGTGATATTTTTTCATATTTTCAAGTTTCAGCGAATAAGTCTACGTTTATCAAAGTATATAGATTTTAACAGTTGAATAAATACAGTGCCAACATTATTTAATTGCTTATGCAGTAACTCTGTTATTATTAATAATCATACTTATTGTGATTTAAATTAAGGTATTTCAATTTCTTGTCATTTTCAACTGTAAAATTACTTGCTGTACAATAACTTTATATCTACTTATCTATTTCAGAGAGAACATAGGAGAATGTGTTGTGTTTCAGTGGGTGGAGAAAATAAGAGAAGTACTACAGACTATAAAGCCAAAAAAAAGACGAGAAGTAAATGAAAGAACTAAATCCAAATCACCTCCCACAGTATCTTCAGATACATCATTGGTAAGATTTCACACTCACAACCTGCCTTCATAGTATACCTGAAAGTAGGTAGCTACTTTAGACTGCTTTCTTGAGTGTGATGGATATGAAGATACATCATCAGATCAATAAAAAGTCCATGAGAGTGCTGGACTTGGACCTCCCATAGAAAACAGTGTTTGCCATTTCTATATCTGGGAGATTACAGAGGGGTTCTGATTAAAGAAGTCCTGCTGTAGTTTAAAAAGTTTATCAGATAATGCTGCTGTTCGGTCTCCATAAAATATTTAGTTCTTAAGAAAGCTCTTACAGTACTGCCATCACCTCCTCTGCTTATTTACATGACCATGAATTGAATGTATTGGACTAAGGATCATTTCAATGTCTTGTTACAAACCAAGGCTCTTGTTATAACCCTAACTGTCTATGTGTAAATTGCAGGTACATAGTGACTGTCCAGAGATAACTCATGGTGAGGTTATCGTGGATAGGAAGAGTATATTCCAAGGTCATGCGGCAGAAGTCCACTCGATTGATGATGTAAAGTAAGTAAATATGTTCCTACCTACTGCAATTACTGCAGTTCTATGGTATATATACTATATATTTGTATATTTATCTCCTGATTTTGAGAACCTTTTACTACTATATAAAGCTAAAGAGTTTGTTTGTTTGCTTTGAACACACTAATCTCGGGAACTACTATTCTGATTCTAATAACTCTTCTTGTATTTGATAGTCCATTTATCGAGGAAGGTTATAGACTACAAAACACCACGCTACGATCAATAGGAGCCGAGCAGAGTGGGTGGAAGTAACTAGTTCAATATAATATTATATCAATGATCTTGTTATATAGACTGTTTAAGAAAATACTGATTAATATTATACAATAATATACTGATTTTGTCTGGTTCCCTAAGATTCTTTAAATTCATAAATTGGTTGTTAGTAGTGCTCGATTGATTGATGGCCACACTATTGATAACCTCTAGGTGAAATAGTGGTCAAACATGCTCCCATGGGATAAAATAGGAATCATATTCTACGCAGACGAAGTCGCGGGCAACAGCTAGTCAAATATAATAGTAACTAGAATATCGAATTTTTTTTAATGTTCGTTTTAAAAACCTATGTACAATGATGTGCTGATTACTAATCAATACCTTCAATTTTTAGCGCGGTCCTAACAAAACTAAAGATGAACAAGAAGATATGTAATGCAACACATAATATGTATGCTTACCGCATAGAACGGAAGACAGGCAAGGGAAACAGCATCCTTCAGGACTGTGATGATGATGGCGAGGCGCACGCTGGTGGCAGGATGTTGCATCTATTGCAAATTTTAGACCAGAAGAATACTCTAGTTGTAGTGTCTCGCTGGTAAGCCAATATTTTTAGTATTCTTTAGTGTACTATGGAACATTAGTTCTTTAAAGGGATATAGGTAGGTGTTCATGTTGGCCAGTTGTTATATGTGAAGTGACAACATGTAGGTGGAGAGGCTAATGTCATGTATCATAGTAAAATTCGAAACGGTGTTTTTAATCAGAATAGTTGGTAACCGAAAATCTCAATACTATAACAAAATTAACATTCAAACCGGATGGGACCGTTTGCTTGGTTGTGGCATTTTATTTTTGAGATACGCCGCTAAACGAGCTTACCGATCCCTGATGGTAAGCAATCAGCGTCGCCCATGGACACCTGGTACACCGGTAAGTGCGTTACCGGCCTTTTAGGGATTAGTAATTTAAAGATTGTTAGGGAATCAGAGATTGGGGAGAGCAGGACGCCTTCCAGTAACCTCACTCACACGACGAGTGAGGACTCACACGACGAAACACAAAGCAAGCGTTGTTTCACGTCAGTTTTCTGTGAGCCTTTCGTATTATTAAATGAGATTATCTTAGGTCTTTCTCAAAATAAATGACTATTGCAGTACTTCTTATATCATGAAATATATTTACAATCATAATACATTACACAGGTGGTCTTGACACAAATCGCTAATACTACAAAATATTATATCGCATGCAAAATCATTGTCTACATCACATTTCTGAATTTAATAATAGTGGTATTACAAAAACTTATGGCATTGAACATTTCTTTTTGTTTTTATTTGAAAGACTTCCAAGATTTTAATTTCCATAGAAGCATTATTTAAAAATTGTAAGTGTACTTATGTGGACACTGTTTTTTAAAAGAGGAACGATGGAGTTTCTTGCACGTTCCTCTCTATTTGAAACTACACCTTGGAACGAGCGCCTTGCTTCACTAACAGGCAGACGGACGGACAATTCAATTTTGGACGTTTCAAAAGTGCCTAATTAAAGATTAATTGAAATAAATACTTTGATTTTGACTAATAATACTTACAGTCAATTAAATAACTACTATTTAATACATTTATGTAGCATCATGTATGTATATTTGTCAATTTGTTTCAGGTATGGTGGGATACAGCTAGGCCCTGACAGGTTTAGACATATCAATAATGCAACGAGACAAGCAATACAACAGGCAGGTCTTTTAAAAAAATGACATTTAGCTTAACAATATTATAAGGTATGTTGTAAATAACGATCTTGTTATATAGGGTGTTTTAGAATAAAGGAAAGATCTTGGTGCTGGTTGACGCCAAGGATTGCGTTTATTCTGTTACATCTTGTGAGTTAAAATTACTTAATTTTGTATTCGAATATAAAATTAGAGTGACCTTTGTATGTATGTATTACCTATGTAATATTATGCTACCTACATGTAGTGATGTGACTGATGTTTGTTAGCTACCAAAATTCTACTTTAAAGGGTTATTTTTTCATACTGAAACTGTTCATCTATTTATTATTTACTCTGTTTATTTTTTAGTACTCTTACTGTTATATAATAATCATTATAATGTTTGTATTAAAACTTTCCTGGGACATACTAAATAATTATTATGTTTTCGGCTTATTCACATCACTATTTGACAAGGAACTCTAAGTACTAATTTCAAACCATACTAGAGGTTACTCAGTAGCAGCGCGACAGTCGCCGCGTCGCAGGTCGCGGAATGCTGCTCATGAATATGAGTCTCTAACATAGCTTGAAACTAGTCGAGTTCCTCGTCAAAAAGTTACGCGAGTATGCTGAAAACATAATAATTAGTTAATCATTATAATATGATCCAACTACACACCAATAAACCTAGTAGTGCCTTTTCATAATCAGAAGTCAAACAATATTTAAGTACCGTAAAACGGGGTGAATAGAATTCGAGGTGTGAATAGGTACAGCAATGGGGTGAATAAATGTATTTTCCCAACATTTATTCACCCCTCTTCTATTTCTATTCAGCCCTCGAATTCTATTCACCCCGTTTTACCGTAACTGCTTATACATACAGCCTGTAGATAATAGTATTGTTATAAAATACACCCTGTAAACGAATGATATATGCAAATAACTTTATACCTTATTACAGTAATCTTATAGTCGATTTTCAATTACATAGTTGTCACCGTGTAGGTGTTCATTTCTGTTATAATACTTATTAGCAGTAGCTATGTCGCAGATTGTAATAGAAAATCTTAATGTTTGTGATTTCATTAGATCTTTTATGTAAATTAATGTTTAATTGTAATTGTATTATTGTTCCTAAGTAACTATAAAAGTAAAAGTTATTCGAAAATATTATTTATCCTTCACGAATGGAAGACATGATTATTATATGAGAACGAAATACAACCAATAGATTTAGGGGAAGATTAAACCTAGAAAGCGCCCAGGCAAGCACCTCATAAGCCTAACTTGCCTTTGGGGAATACGGCTCTGGCTCGGAGTGCCAACTTTTCAAAATGATAACTCGAATTGATAACTTATTAACTCAGGCCTTAGTACGAGTTTGATAGAAACGAGACCGCGTGCGGCGCTCTGATTGGATGGTTCATTGGCGCCGGCCAATCAGAGCGCCGAACGCGGTCTCGTTTCGATTACTTTAAACGAAAACTACACGTTTGGCGCGGTGGCTGGACAACCGGCTGCCGAGCAACGCGTACCGAGTTCGATTCCCGCACAGAGCAACTCTTTGTGATCCGCAAATTAATCTTTCGGGTCTGTGTATATGACGTATTGTACGCGAGCCCACGAGACAGGAGAAAATTTGGGGCAACGTATTTAAAAAAAAAACTAAACTTACTAAGTTTACCAAAATGTTATTGTTTATGGGGTTATCACAGTCGATGTCAATATCACAGGAGCAGTGTCAGGGCAATGTTAATATCACATACGATAATAGTGATAAGCCAAATTGTTTGACCTTCGGTGCGCGGAGTTCGAACGACGCAACAATCGCCGCGTTGTCTTTAGAATGGCTTGAAACTAGTCCAGGTCCTCGACAAACAGTTACGTGAGTAAGCGGGAAAACATAATAGTTAATTTTATTAGTACATGAGGTTTTAACTTAAGACTTCATTTCAAAGCTAAATCATAATTTGTACATTCCGAAAAATTGGCATTCTGAGCTAATACCAAATCTATTCTAATTATACGGCGCGTCGAGTTCCGCGCGCGCCTCAAAGAGCCATCAGACCACCACGGATGGGGCATGGGGCCCAATAGGGCTGATGCCGATACGGAGCCTCGGAGGACTTAACAGGTTGCCGGGGCTCCGGCTCGAAGTGCAGGTGTAGGAACGGGGTTGTTTTTAGTCAGTAAGAGTCTGACACTCCCTTCCGCCTCACCCGGGCGGGAGAAATCATTTGATGATATTCCCCACTTAAAAAAAATCTAAGTAAAATACCTTAACACGTTGAACGCCTAAAAAAAATACGCCTTCGCCCTATGGGCCATGGCAGACACCGTATGGCTGACAATGAGCCGGGTCCATCGGGCCGCGGCACACACGGTTTGACTGCCAGTACGATCTGCGTTAAAATGTCTTTACTGGTCTGGCAGACAAATAAGTTTGTGAACGCTATTCGCAGTGACCCGCGGGGCGCTGTAGAACAAACCTCGCGCCTTAGCGCGGCAAAAATCTTACAAGTCTTTGAGATATTTGGGACCTGATGGACCCGACACATTTTTTCTCTGACATTTCTGGTTTAACATTTATACGGATGACTTTTAGTTAAATAAATTGTGTCATACAGTTATGATTTTAATTATTTACATCATTGGGGTATAAAATTAAGCATGCCAAATATTAGAAAAATACCTTTATTATAAAATAAAAAATACAGTACTCTACGCTATGACTTAAAATTGGAGATCAAACAAATTAAATGACTTCTTTCTTAATTATACATAATAAAAATGAAAAAAAAAACAATCAAAACACATGAACGGCTTACAAGGGCAGGTTTCACAAAATGTGTTGACTTTCTTGGTTTTATTTCTAGCATATTGTCGGCCCATCAAAATGACATTTTGCTTATAGCATCCAGAGCACAAACGTCGGGTACTTTTAGATTTGCCATCTTTTTTAGACAATTGATGCTTCAACCGTTTAGGCACCTCACGAAGTCGATACTCCTCGCTCTCTGTTTGGCAGAATTGTTGTACAATTTCCTTTCTAAAATCTACTATTTGAATAGTTTTCTTTGTGACTGACTGATACAAAATTAGAGCATTTATCACTGTAGTGTTTAGTAGTAAATTAATGGCAAGCTTCTTATACCATTTGACAGATTTTCGTAGTGGAGTCGAATAAGACGCTAATTGATCAGAGAGGTCTACCGCACCCTTTGCCATATTGTAATCAACAATTATTTTTGGCTTCCGTATAGTTTTCCCACGCTGTTGAATATTAACAAATCGATCAGTATGTTTAGTGGATAGAACATACACATCCCTCTTGTCCTTCCATTTTAAACACGTTATTCCGTCGTTACTCTCTGCAGCTTTATACTCTCCACGCTTAAGTTTGGCATCAATGACCTCTTTTGGTAAACCTTTACGATTTTTTCTTACGGTGCCGACGAGATGCATTTCTCTTTGTAATAATTGTCTGGCTAATGTAATGCTTGTGTACCAGTTGTCCGTAAATAATGTATGCCCTCTTTCAAAACGATCTTCACATAAAGACATCACAACATTTGTGGGTGTGTTATGAACATCATCATTTTTCCCCGCGTATACTTTTACTTTATAAGTATAGCCCGGTATGGTACATAGTTTAAATTCTTTAATCCCGTATTTATGCCTCTTTTGTTTATTGTATTGTCTGAAAATAATTCTCCCACGGAAAGGGACCATGCTTTCGTCTATACACAGGTTTTCTGTTGGCGAAAAGTTTTCCTGAAATACTTTATTTACTTCATCATACAGCTTTCTGACACGATGCAGTCGGTCTGATTTATGTTCATTGTCATTTTCTGAAAAGTGTAACATTTGCAGCAACAGCTCGAAACGATTACGAGACATAATGGTCTTTGGAAATGGATGGCTAATCATGTCGTCCTTACACCAATAATCAGCTAATTTAGGTAGCCTCACCAAACCCATAAATAAAATCAAGCCTATAAAACATTTCAACTCAGCAGGGTTAGTGGGTGTCCATCTACGAACCCGTGCAAATTTAGAAGCTTGAGGTAATTGTGTTATTTCTTTAATTGCATATTCATTAGTGGCATCGACTATTAGTTGCAATATGTTATCAGTCAAAAAAAAAGAAAAACATTGCGCAGGAGTCATTCCATGCATACACTTTATATGGGGTGCGGGACCAGAAATGTCTGTAAACGGAATAATACGGCGTTGATTACCTTGAACCTCTGTCCAGATGTTCGAAGGGCTTGTATTATTACTGGGGCAGGGCGGAACGTTTTCGGCATCGCTGTCTTCGCTAGTTGATAATATAATTCGGCGGCACTTTCGTCTTAGGGGTTGAATTATATCACTACACTCGTCATCTGAACTCGGCATTATAAAACTATTATTTAGTAATGATATTTCAATATTGTCCATTTGCATCAGATGTTCAGCGTTTATATCAAAATCCAAGTCTTCCATGTTTATTAGTAATAGTAGGAGTATTAGTAACGAATACTGAATACGTATGTAGGTATAATTACAAATTACAGAGCGCGCGAAACGGTCCGCACTTTTGCCACTGAGTAGTAGCGAGAGCAAGCGCAGCGCTTACGCGCGGGTGCGGGGGGTGGTTGACAAGGTGACCCGCGTGGCCCCCTCCACTTAAATAACGAATAGTGCTTTGGCTGGGCCATGGCAGATAATGGTGACTGCCAGCTATTTTTTCTCTATATTTACTATTTTTCGCTATTGTATTTATTTCATATTAGATTATACCCATTTTTCATACAATTAAACCGGAAAAATATGTTAACAAATTTTGACTGTTTTTTAATATTTCATGAAGCCCACTGAGAATACACACTGGCAGATAAATGGTGTCTGCCATGGCGTTCAACGTGTTAATAATATTTACTATCGACACGGCGAAATTGTAAATGAAACAAAATAATACATTGTTTTGTAAAATACAATATTTAATTTATTTTTGTATAATTCATGATGAATTTTGTTGAGCAATATTTGTTTCATACATAACTAAATATAACTTTCAACTTTATTTCAAAAAAAGGTTGAGGTTGTAAATAAATTAAAGATATTTACGACATAGCGACTGTATTCGCATGGCTAAATGGTGGTTCACGTAAAATATTGATAACAGAGAAAAGTCAGTCAGGAAAATAGAAAATTAACAAAGGTTTGGCTGTATTATGGAATTTATTTAGGTTAAGTCCTTAGGCCTTCGTTAAACGTTAAAGCTATATAATAATAAAAGAGAAAAAGTTAATTCTTTACCAATTAGCTAAAGTTTTAGAAACATCGCATGATATTGCTCAATAAAAAACATTATTGTGGACACACCATTTAAATATACATAGATAAATAGATATTTACAAAAAACCAATATACATAATTGTCTGTGCTACCTTCTATCATTTCGAGCATTGTTATCCGTTGTTTTAACTGTAATGCACCTCTTGTCAAGGAATTTCAGCAGCTCCTGTAAGCAATAATAATAATAATTGATATTGTTATACAAATGATATTATTATAAATAAACAAATTATGATTTCTTTTTTGTGCTTTCATTCATACCCATATTACAATATAGGTAAAATTTTTTGGAAATTGTTTTTTTCGCCGGGGCGAAACTCCGCTGCTGCGCCAGATAAGTGAGTGGTGGGAAGAGCTCCGGCGCGATCTCATGGCGGAATGGCAGCAACGACTGTCACAACCGAGGGCTGGGCTCGCTGCCATTGCAGCGGTAAGTCTCCTCTTTGAGGAGTGGATTGAGAGACGCTACGGCGTCCTCACCTACTGCCTGACGCATGTCCTCACCGGACATGGAAGTTTCGGGAGGTACCTGTGTCTGATGGGACGGGAGGAAACGCCCGGGTGTCATCACTGCGAGGACCGCCCTGAGGACGCGGAGGAACACACCGTAGTGGAATGCCCTGCGTGGGGATCGCGAGACGATCTCCGGCCACCGTAAGCGCGAGCCTACGGACGGCGAGTGGCTCACCGTCCGACAAGAACCAGACCCGAGCGTACGTCCAGCCATCAGACCACCGTGGGTGGAGCCCAACAGGGCTGATGCCGATTCGGAGTCGCGGAGAACCTAACGGGTTACCGGGGCTCCGGCTCGAAGTGCTGGAGAAGGAACGGGGTGGTTTTTAGTCAGTAAGTGTCTGACACACCCGCCTCACCCAGGCGGGAGCAGTCATTCGATGATTTTCACCGCTTAAAAAAAAAAACATTTTTCCCCGAAGGTGTGTGCAGAGATGCACATTACTACACTTATTGCCACTGTATGTAACACCCACTTTTCACTATTTATGTTATGAGTCCCATGTAATAGGGGGTGAGCCTATTGCCATATACCGGTCACAATTCCAGGCTCCGTGCTACTACTGAGAATTTTTAAAACCTCAGTGATACTTTGCCCGCCCTGGGAATCGAACCCGAGAACCCTTGCCCGGCAGTCGCACACTTGCAAATACTCGGCCAACGAGGCAGTTGCGCTAAACAATAACGTCGTACTAAAAATACCGTTAGCAGCCATCACTTCGAAGACTTGACATTGTTTCTTAACGACTAGACCCCTTCATTGTTTGACTGATAATAAAATACATAACATAACATCACGCCTTTGTATTCCCGAAGGGGTAGGCAGAGGTGCACACAGAAGTAACACCCACTTTTCACTATTTATGTTACGAGTCCCATGTAATAGGGGGTGAGCCTATTGCCATACACCGGGCACATTTCCAGACTCCGTGCTACTACTGAGATTAAAAAAAAAACCCAGTAATGCTTTGCCCGACCCGGGCATCGAACCCGAGAACCCTTGCTCGGCAGTCGCACTTGCGACCATTCGGCCAACGAGGCGAGCAATAAAATACCTACGTATAATAAAATGATGCTCACCTTAGGATCATACCGATGCCCGTACCCGACCAAATCCTTGTGTATGACGTCGATGTTGACTGGCTCATACTTGAGTATGGCCTCTCTTAGAGAACGACGACTTAGCACGTAGTTGTGGAACGCTATGTGTAATGGCACGCGGCAGGAATGTACCTGTATTAGTAAGTAATTTTATGGGTAAGTAGATAGAGTAAGCACATTCGATTTTCAACTTTATAGTTTTGGTTTAAAGTTGAATCCAATGAAAAGGAAAATCTTAAAGATAGGTACACAATAAGTTCAGTTCATAAGCATAGAAAGTAATTTAAATACCTTAAACAGTCGGGACGGGACTCATGTATGGGAAATGTTGAAGTCCAGAATATTCTATTGGGTCCCGCCCGACTGTCAAACGAACAGAGGCATTACGACTAACATAAAGTGGTCACATGTAACACCAGAGGAATAACAAATTTTTTTTAAGGGGAGGAAAATCATCGAATGACTTCTCCCGCCTGGCCTGGATGAGGCGTATCACCTGACTAAAAACCACCCCGTTCCTACTCCTACACTTCGAGCCGGAGCCCCGGTAACCCGTTAGGTTCTCCGCGGCTCTTTTTAATGGAATAGGAGACTAACGAGCAGACGGATCACCTAATGATAAGAGATCAGCGCCGCCCGTGGACACCCGCAACACCAGAGGAGACACAGGTGTGTTGCCGGCCTTTGAAAATGGAATACGCTCTTTTCTTGAAGGTTTAAAGGTCGTATCGGTCCGGAAATACTGCCGTCGACAGATCATTCCACAATTTTGCTGTGCGAGGCTGAAAGCTACGTGCGTTACAGGTGTCTCTGGACAAGATGCAAGCGGTCACCGATGGCCACTCTCCACTTACACCATTATAGATCTTATTTCCAATGTTTAGAGACTACTTTTGTATGAAAAAATGTTGTAGACTTTTCATAATCGGATATTTACGAGTTATTGCATAAAGAAAGAAATACTTTACCTTAGCCTTCTCCCTTTTCTGAAACACCCAGTCATCTGGACTGCAGTCAGTAGCCTTCACAATCGCAAGTTCACTACTGACTTCATAAGCACACGCTTCTGAACTTTTCTCGTCTTTAGAAGTAGGAGGTGATAGTATACATCTCTCTCTTTCCAACTCACTACTATTGGTATGTGAAGAGTGTGCTAAACCATTCTGGATCTTTAATGGGGACGATTTAGGTCGAATTTGGGTTGATTTTGAAGGTGATTTAGCAAGTTTTTTTGGCGAAGAATCTTGTGTTAGTGTCAGTCTTGGTTTTTTACAAGATGGCTGGTCTTCGTCGACTAGTTGTTGTACTGTAGGATGCATTTGATTGTAGAGGTGCGTGAGAATTTTTATGGCTGGAATTTAAGAACAAATTTTTAATATGGTTGATATAAAGGAGTGAGATGGTCAAACAAAAGACGTGATAATTATTATTACTGAATTATAGAGATACTTTTCAAAACGTAAACTTACTTTTCAAAATCGTATCTTATACTATTATATAAAGCGGAAGAGCTTGTTTGTTTGAACGCGCTAATCTCCGTAACTACAAGTCTGATTTGAATAATTCTTTTTGTGTTGGATAGCGCATTTATCGAAGATAGATATAGGCTATAAAACATCACGCTACGACCAATAGGAGCTGAGCAGAGCGTGTGAAACCGCGCGGAAGTAGCTAGTCTGCTATAAAATTTCGACCCTACTGCAAAACCGTAAAGTTGAGTCTATTGCCAACCCTTAGGATCGTAAGACCAGTAATCGCATTTACGAACACCGAAGAGTGTGTGAGTGATTACTGGCCTTAAACCAAATAAAATAGAATAAAGGTATTAAATCCTTACCTCTTTTTCTTTTAAAGGGCTTCAACCCATATTTATCCAATTCCTTATTCCTTTCCGGAGTCGACATGGACGCATAATCCGACATAGGCGTTACATCACAAGTTTTAATAACATATTCAGACTTATTAGGTGTTTTAACATTAATCACACCATTAGTATTGGCTAAAACATCTTGGAACTCTTCCGAACTAATATCCATATTAACATGTACTTCAGATTTATCAATTCCTACCTCATTTTCATTTCCGAAATTGATATCTGGAAGACTATCTATAGCATTTTCATTTATAATAGAAACTCTTTGGCCAACTTCACTCGAATTTCTAGTACCATCTAGTCTAGTAATATTATCCAAAACAGAAATGCCACCGAAATCAAAATTATCTCTAGGAAGCTCGTATCTAGATTTGTGAAGAGAATAGTCTAATTCTTTGTCTGATATATGAAAGACTTCAGAATTTTGACTCGAATTTAATTCTTCGTCGTTGTCATCTACAATTTCTATTGGATTAACATCTTTGGATGTAGAAGGATCTGTTTTTTGTGTCATACTGCCATCTTTCTCAATGCCTTTAAAACTTTCCGTATTATAATTATTATCTTCATTAATAATTTCATCGTAATCTATTGAAATGTCGCCATTTTTACCTAAGCTGCTATTGTTAGGAATGCTTTCTTGTTTTTCAATAGGATTAGATATTTCTTCTGATGTACCTGAACTTTGAGTTAAATCTATATCATCTGTTTGTTCTTTAGAAACACTACTATTGACACCTTCTTGTTCAATATTTCGTTCTACTTCTTTACTTATATCAGGTTCTGAATGATCATGAACAAAGTCTTCATAAAAACTGGTAGAAGGTTCATTATACTTTGGCAAAATGGGACTGGAATCATTTTTCGTCTCTTGTCCTTGTGTTAAATCAAACACTGGACTTTCTGCTCTATTTTCAAAGAGCATAGATTCTTTAACTTTATTATTGGAGATGTATTCTACAATTATTGTGTCATCTAAAGATGTTTGGGCATGTGCATCGCCAAAATTGACCGAAGGCAGCTCATCTAAATTATCAGAGTTGGAAGACTGTGTTAAATTCACAGTTTCTCCACCATTTTTATCTTTATTGTCATCTATAACTTCCATGCTTTTATCATCTTCATTTGAACTTTGTGTCAAATCTACATTGTCTTCTTCTATGTCCAAATTATTATATTTATTTATATAATTATTTCTGTCATTAGGAACTACTGTTACGTTTTGTTCATCTGTAACATTTTGACTGACACTATCTCTAGTTTCTTGTTCAGTATCATTAGAAATATTTATCTTATCTAGATTAATGCTATGATTGCCTTCCCTAATTGTTTTGTTAGCTTCAGGACTCTGTGTCAAGTCAATCTCTTTAAATTCTTCTCTAATAGGCTGAGAAGAACCAACAATACATTCAGTGATTTCCATAAAGTCATTAGATCTTCTTTTTGTTACATCCTGAGATAAAAGCACAGCTTTCTCAGAATTCTGTGATAGGATATTAACATTAGCACACTGAGTCAAATCCATAAAGTTATCTTGCGAAAATACTTTAGTTTTGTGCTCTTGAGACAAAATGTTTGTAGGTTTAGAAACATCTATTATAGAAGATAGTTCATCATCAAATATGTCAGGCGAAACACTTCTATACTGCTCAGTAATTTTGAGTTTATTCTCAGTATCTACATCTCCAGCATTTTTACTTTCAACTTTTTCTTTAATAGGAGATATTATTTCAATCACATCATTTACACATGATTCGTCAACAAAGAGCCTTTTCACAGGCGTTTTTGGACAAACCTTTTTGATAGGAGATTGCATCCCAAAAGCTTTTTCAAAAGGTGATTTATTAATTGCTTCAACTTCATGATTATCATCAATACTTATTATACTGGATTCCATTTTATTTATTACTTTATCTTCATCATCTATTACAATACTAGGCACATCCTTTTTAAGTTCCTTATATTTATCTAAAACATCTTTGACAGACTTGATAGAACCACTCAAAATTACATCCAGCTCATCTTGAGAGCAATCAATGTCTTTAAAATCCATTGTTATTGGTTCTTCAAGCTTAGGACTCTGTGGTCTTCCTGGAATTTCGGACCAGTCTCTTAGTAAAGCACCATTAGTAGTTGACTTCTCTACTAAATCATCTACATAGAATATACAATCATCTTTCATGCATTCATACAAGGTATTGGATGCTAAATAAAAAACTCGAGCTTCCAAATTTTGAATATTTTGTTCTGTATAAGACTTCTTGAGGTTTTCAAATAGAACTTGTGAATACTTGCTGGTTATAATTTTATGTTTTTCTTCTTCAGATGTAGTAAGGAGTTTATATTGTTTTCTAAGCTTTTTAGTTTTTTTAACAGCAGTTATTTTAGCTTCAGGAACTTTAAACCCATATTCTTGTAATGTTTTCCTTATTTTCGCTACTCTTTGTTGGGAAGACAAAGTGGGTGTGCTCTCATTCTCATTGGATTCTGTTTGGAGTGATTTAGACAATGCAATAGCTAGTTGCAATTGTTCCGAATCTACATCTAAACCAGATTTCTTACAGACATTATCAAACTCTTTTGTGTATGCTTCTAGTTCATTTTTCTTTCCTTTCAAAGCTGTTCTTATATCTTTCTGGCCTTTAATGTGTTTAGTTACCTTCCTAGTCTTAGGTTTAGTTGCTTTTGTAACCGGTTTTGGCCCTTTACAACTTTGTTTAGCTTCCTGGAAATCAGTAAGGCTCTCATCCATATCAGGCTTGGCAACAAAGTATTTGCCTCGGACGCATTTGCTGAAATGGAACAAAAATAAAACAAATTATTTATTTACACAATTATTTTTATTATCTACATCTATGTATTATCTATGTATAAATATTACCTATTATTATCTATGCTCATAATCTATATTCCTGGCTGGTCTGGTCTTTGGCTTTCTTCCATATGTTTTCGTATCGTTGCTGCTGAACGGTTTGGAAGGCCGCTGGCGATCATGAGACGTCTCTCCACCTCTTCAATCGGATCTTCATATAAGGGTTCTATAGCTTTTCGCAAATTAGTAGTTACTGGTACGAAACTAAAAGAAATAAGTGTCATATTAAGTATTAACAATAATGGTATAAAATAATTAAGTATATTGGATGTTTATAAAGATAAGTGGAACTTGTCTAGACAAGTTTGTTGACAAGCAATGAACGATATACAAGTAATTATATATTTCATTGGCTAGTTCTCTCTCGCGAAGTATGTGTTCGAAGTATATTAATATTACTATGTTGGGTCAAGACATTGGGAATTGAAATAAGATATAAATTTAATATCATTAAATTCCTCGTATAGATGTAAAATCAGACATGTAAACATTCGTTAGTGTCAGATAGAACCGAAGTTTACACATAACCTCAAACAAAAAATTAGAAGAACATAAATCAAAATACATACTGGAAAATCAGTCCCGTAATGATTCCGAAACTTAATATGCCTACACCAAGTATATTGCGAAATTTAGAGGCTGGTGTACCAGTAATTTTTCTGGGTTTCCATTTTGACGTATCTACACCAATCGCCATGATTGATTCAAAAAATCGCTGTTCCTATTTACGACACTAGATGGCTTGACAAGTGTCATTTTGATTAATTTCTTTAGATAAATGTTTTTCTCATAAAGTTTTGTTAATTTTCAAATTCTGACACCATTTATTTTGTTAAGTAATCCTGCAATGAAGTTAAATTATTTTGAATCAGCCGTTCAATTTTCAGAAATCGCGTAATAGACTAATAGTTTATGCATCAAAAGGACTGCAATTGTCACGTTCATTTATTGACGCGATCACAAAATCACAAATATTTTTTTATGTTTTTATTTTATTACTTGAACTATATTAAGATAATAATTAATTTAACCTTAGTCATCAAGTTTTCAAGCAAATTAACAAGAACAGGTTCCATTATAAGTTAATAAAACTAAATTAGGCAATAAGTTAAATAGCTTAAGTCCTTAATTTGAACGAATTTGATAATTGATAACACTACAGCTGCAGCTGACTGATTGATTTTTGATTGATTGAATCATTCATAGATCATTACGGAGAGTATTTATTCAGCGCAATTTACTTTTTGAATTTAGTTTACCTACAAATCTAAAACTGAGTGGTTGTGCATTTGTGCACGGTTTTTGTATTCTTTGATTTTCAAAAAAATTGTAAATTCTTTACAAAATGTCTCTACTACAGAACTTGACTTACAGAGAGTATCAACATGCTTTAGAATTTACTCAACATCGGTGTGAAATAATAGGAAGATTGGCCAACATGAAGTAAGTTTTAAACTTTTTATTACATGCCTAATTAAATTTATTATTATTATCCATTAATGCAGTCTATAATTATTAATTTTGAAAGTAATTTTGGTGGCATGTAAGTAGGTACCCGAGGAAAAACATGTCACTAGCGCTATGAGATGTATTGTGGATTAAAAATTAAGAAAATATTCCATATTCTTATTTATGTTTATTCTTATGTCATCTGTACGTCCCTAAAATATTCCTTTAAAAATATTACTTTTTCATAACCATAATTGTGTATTATTTCGTTTTATTCGAATTAAAATGGTCAACACTAGTTAAGTGCTAGTATTCCGTAATAATTAAGCAATAATGATAAAATCTAACAAACTTTTTACCAGTACCCACATTATGTATATGTTGCATTGTAACAGATTCTTCTAGTAAAATAAGTAGAAATTGAAATACTTACACCTATTTAGTTTAGTAATAAAATAATAATATTTTAGGAATATGTTGCCCTAATTATTTATTGTAATTATTATACTTAATGGAATCTAGAGATAAAGTCCTTGATTTTTTTACCAAGCATTCAATCTGTTACTAATCTTCTTAGTTACTTATTAATTTAAGGTGTGAGATATTTTTTTAGATTTCGAAAGTCATTCAATCTTTCTTTACATTCTGATATATTTTCTCAAAAAATACAATTTTGAAATTATGTAGGTAGATGTATAATTTTCTATGTTTTCCAGAATACCATACACGAACACCACGAAACCTGGCGAGACCTTAGTAAAAGCACTTGACCGTGCTGGATTTTCTGCGGCTGCATTTAAAAAACTAGTCGCAGATTCTGCCAAAGTAAAAACTATTACTACATATTACAAACCTAAATCAAAGATTGCCATTCTAGTGGCCAACGATAGATATACACATTTATCTAGATTGGCTACTCCATCAATAGACTGTGACTCTCTAGCAACTTTGTTGAAAAATGCTGGGTTCATCACTATTAAGATAAAGAATACTACAGGCGCACAATTAAAACTTATTCTGGCTAAGATCTTTGACCTGGTTGAAGCGGATTCTTATTGTAAGTATTTACAGTCCATTTTCTTTAAATTGTGAAGAACTGTTACTCTGATTACTTCTAAACACACATAATTACATTTTGTCTTATGACCCCAAGAGGCCAGAAACTTACTTGTACCCGTAATGGTTTAGCTTTATGGGCGGTACTAAAAAATTACCATTAGGACATCCATCTAATAGGGTAGATGACTAATTTTTATTTTAATGTCCATCTGGTAGACTATTTTAAAACATTAGGCACGTTTTTATTTCTTTACAGAAACGAATATTTTTAACGATATACTGATTTGAAATATCTCGTGACGTCACTTCTATGTATATTTTATACATAGCAATGACGTTTTAGCCCCCACTCCTAAACTTTGAATTGTTTTATCTAAGTATCTATATTATACAACAAAATATAAAATACATGTCTAATATTTTTTCATTATCTAACTGACGGACTAATTAGATTATTAATATTCTTACCCTGTCAACTACCCAATTGTATGAATTTCTTAGGAAATATACTGGTCATAAAAAATATATTCTACCCTACATATTGTTAAAAAAATTAACAAATGTTTTCTTTTGCAGGCTTCTTCTTCTACGCAGGTCATGGTTGTCAACTATGCAATACAAAATGCATGTTAGGTATCGACTGCCCAACAGAAAATATCGGCTTGGAACATTGCGTTACTGAGAACTTTGTACTTAATGCAATGACCAAGCGGAAACCTGAACTGGGGATGCTTATCATGGATATGTGCTGCGTATGTTTGGATCGGTAATACAATTTGAATTATTTTATGTAACTCCCTAACTAGACTTATTAGAGTGATACATGGTGGTGGTGTCCTTAGGGACCAGTGTGAGCTTTGTGAATTTTAGTAACAAAATCTACTGGCGATTTTATTACCAAAATACCCCCAAACTGATCGAAGAAATTTGGACATAATATGTTCCATACAAAAAAATTCAACTTCTATGCAGTTCTACCTTCGCATAGGTTAATGACATTGGCTATTAATGTGTTGACGTATAACCTTGTGTAATAATACGACCTAATATTATATTATAACTGTTTTTAATTGATTTACATTAGTAGTTAGCACAATCATAAACTGCTTAATAATTTATTTAATTATTGTTTAATCACCTCTTGATATTAATCAATTACCAATTTACCATCCTTTGTGCTAGTGTATGATATTTGATTACATTAGAGAGTTTGTGTATCTGAAAAATTCCTAAATGCAGTTCTTTCCCAACTATATTTTCTTGTCTCAACGCATCTCAGACCACCATATCCCCTGCTGAGCAAAGCCTCTTCTCACACGAGAAGGTTTGAGCATGAATCAAGGTTGGCGATTTTAAACTTATAATTAGAAATTATAAGCTCAGGTGGACTCACGATGTGTTCCTTCACCGTTTGTCAGCGGTGTCTAGATAATCTTAGAAAGTACATATAACTCGGAAAAAGTCACATTGGTACTTGCCGTTCGTAGGTTTCGAACTCGCACGCTCATGCACGAGAAGCGCGCGCCTTAACCCTCCGGGCCACCGCCAATGCAACTACTAAGCATAAAAATATTAACAAAAAATTCTCTCTCTCTTTACAGCAACGTCCACCCCAACATCTTCGCTTCAATCAACACCATTGAAGAGTACACTGTACACAAGAATTTACTCATAGCATATTCAAGCCAGTCTTCGCAAAATGCTTATGAAGAACTTCAGATCGAATGCTCGACTACCATCAACAACGATCAGACCTACGAGCTGAAGACTGGCGATACGGATAAAATTGTACCCGGAGCTAGTCAATATGTAAATTCTTTGTGTACAAGGATCGATGAGGACTTGGACGCAAATACGTTGCTAGATAAAGTACACGAAGGTAGTTATGTAGTATTTTACTTTTTTTTTTAATATTAAAAAACTTTGCCCGTTCTTGTATTTTCTCGTGTGTCGTGGGTTTACGGACATATCATAAGTCATCCCACGATACGTTGCACGGCAGCTGGTTGCCTACCCACTGCGCCAGTCGTGCAGTCAAAGATAGCTATTATTAACATTGCTAACTCTACGTTAGGATTTTCTCTGATAATGAATAGTTTCATTAAATAACATCACTCCTTCCCCGAAGGGGTAGGCAGAGCTACACACTACGGCACTTAAGCCACTGTAAAATATACACACTTTTCACTGTTTATATTATGAGCCGCATGTAATAGGGGTAAGTCTATTGCCATATACCGGACACATTTCCAGACTCCGTGCTACTACTGAGGATTGTTTTAAAACCCAGTAAAGCTTTGCCCGAACCGGGAATCGAACCCGGAACTCCTTAGCCTCCAGCCTGAGGCTAGCCTTAACCCTCCATAATAACAAATGGTAGTCATAAAAAAAGCTTTCTAACTATATACGTCTGGTCGTTACTAGTGGGTAGGTACATTTCCAATACATGATTGCCCGTCACCCTTCGACTCATACGAAACTACCGTCATCAAGTTATTTAGAAAAAAAAAGTTTCACTTTTTCTGTTAAAGTTGTACCAATGGAGTATTAATTTTTGTTTCAGATGTTGAAAAATCAGTTAAGAAGCAAAAGCCCACGAAAGTGCAGTGCGGTGTCGATAAAAGATCATTGTATGATCCTCCAACAGGTTGGTAACGTTTTCTTGCATTCCAGACGTTTTTAGGATGCACTAGATAACATAACATAACATCACGCCTTTTTATCCCCGAAAGGGTAGGCAGTGGTGCACATTTCGGCACTTAATGCCACTGTACAATGTAACACCCACTTTTCAGTATTTATGTTATGAGTCCCATGTAATAGGGGGTGAGCCTATTGCCATAAACCGGGCACAATTCCAGACTCCGTGCTACTACCTACTGAGATTTTTAGAAACCCAGTAATACTTTGCCCGACCCGGGAATCGAACCCGAGACCCCTTGCCTGGCAGTCGCACTTGCGACCACTCGGCCAACGAGGCAGTCTAGTCAGATCTATTAAATATTCTAGAAATAAACAATTTATTTGCTAATAATGTAGGTCTAACTATCATGTTTTGTTCCAGGTGACACACAAGCACTGCTGAGTAGATTAAGAGAAGCCACTCAGGAATATAAAGACAATTGCGTAGTCTATTAATTATTTTACAATTTAATTATGAATTATTTTAGATTTAAGAAAATTGAGCTTTAAGTTTAGTTTTAAGATAAGGTTCTGAAGTGTGGGAGAGCCATGCTTCGGCACGAACGGGCCGGCTCGACCGGAGTGATACCACGGCCTCACATTACGCCGGCGTGAAACCATACTTAGATTTTTAAGTGAATTGCGTGTGTAAGGTTACCGGAGGCCCAATTCCTTCCCTCTTCTTTCTCCCCAATCCTTATATCCCTCAAAAGGCCGGCAACGAAGTTGTTAGTCTCTTGATGTTACGACTGCCCATAGGGGGCGCCGATGCTCCCCATCAGGTGATCCGTCTGCTCGTTGCTGGCCCATCCCACAAAAAAATCCGACATACTGTGATAACAATAATTATAATTAATTTTTATTTAATTAACATATAATAGATATTATTTAATGTAAATGTAATGACTACTATCGGGAATTGAATGCAATTATTTTTATATTTTTATACTACAATGTTGTAGGTAAACTTTTTATAACTTAGATTATAAAGTGCATAAGCGATAATATTATTATTGTAAACCGTTATTTAGGTTTAAGGCAGGACTTTGACATTTCTTCTTTCTTCGGTGGACCTGTGGTTTTCGCCCTAATTTTGTTGTATTATAGTTAAAAGGCCGTTAATTTCAACACTAGATAATTAATACGTTTTAGTACTAAGTAGGATAGGGTAATGATCACGAATATATACACACAGTGAATTTCATAATAAAGGGTATTAAAGAAACCGCAGAGCCCCATACTAACATCTTTTTCTTCCTTTCTATTCATTCTAGTCATAAAAAACTAACCTGCACCTAGTGGCGTATCAGGCCAACAAATGTTCTACTGCATTTCCATTAACATTAGTTTTAATAAGAATTTGTAAATAATAATAGTTATTATTATGAAATAACTGTGATTATTGTTATGAAATGAAATGAAATAAATTGACAATAACGAGAACAATTCAACTGCATTTATTTTTTTTTACACTGTCGGAAGCTCATTTTAGTGTTTAGTTTGACAAACATCAGAAAAAAACCCATATAAAATCATGTCTTTCTGCTGCAACTGAACCAATATTTATTTAATAATGAAGCAAACATTTTCCTAGTCTCAATAATCTATTCTTGCCGATATTTTTACACATTTTGTACAGAGTATAAATGAAAATTTTATCTCTTTCTAGCAAAATCTACTGACAGGTTATTGACCCTCGGGGCTTTTCGAACGCCTGGAAAATTACATTGTGTATAAAACCCTTTAAAGAATTGTCTACAACATCTATTTTTTTATGTAATCTCTGTAATTAATTTCACATATTTATTATAAGTATGACACACAGTCTTATAGCATGAATAATATTTATTTATTACACAAAATCTAGATGTGGTAGACAACTTTTTCGAGACATGAACAAAACAAAAAGTGTTTCAGTTGCAACAAAGGTTTGACCGTAACAATCACTTCTTTATTACATTCTGTGGCTGGAAGTGGTTCACGATATTAATCCACCAACTATCTTCTACTCCTTTAGTGAATTCTCTTATAAATCTGTAGTTTAGAATAAATATCTTGTCCTGGTATTCTGGTTGTACACTGAAAAATAAATATTAAGGGCATTGAGATTAGAGACATATTAGAGACACGATATTAATCCACCTAATCTACACTTTGTGTATGAAGCTTAAATAAATAAACAAATTACATTTATGTAATACTATTAATTATCATGTTTTTCGGCTTACTCACGTAATTATTTCACAAGGAACTCGACTAGTCAAGTCATGCTAGAGGCTCATTTATGAGCAGCATTCCGCTAATTGGGACGCATCGACTGTCGGGGTAGCAGACAAGTTCCTCTTCAAATAATTTCGTGCGTAAGCCGAAAAACATAACAATTAAAAAATTACATTCATAAAGGATTGAAGCAAGAGAAGTGCCCAACTTCTGTTGTTTTACAGAGGGTTAGTCTCTGAGGAATTTAAGCGGCAATGTTTATTATTATTACACAAGATACCCAAATTTAGTCACATAGGTAAAGTGACGGCATGTTAGTTTTTGAATTACAAAATAAGTTAGCATAACTAATATGGAGGGATACATACCCAATAGTGATAGGTGGTAAATCGCCAGCATCTTTCAAATGTCTGAGCCCTCTGAATACATGGTAGCACATTGTTATTTCAACCCAGCGCTTATCCGCATCATCAAACATTACACCAACCTGGAAGTATGAATGTGTTTGAAGACAGGCCTTTTTAGTCTGTCACTAGTAGTATTTAATGAACAACTGACCACGAGAATTTTGCTTAGGCCTCTAGCACACGGCGTATTTATATACCCGCAGAAAACGCACGTTAAACGCGCGTATACGAGCTTTATATGAGATAGGAATACAGCATTGTAACCTGAGCACACGGAGTTGCAAGTGAAACGCCGTGTGCTATGAGCCTTATATGTAGTCATGTGTCTAAGCAAGACTTGTGTCACATTTTAAATATTTTCTATTCTTTTATCTCATAAAGGAAGTAATGTTGTGAATATAAAATGTCTTATGGTATTTAATCTTGTACACATCTATCTTTATTAGTGTCCATCTTATTCCAATTACAATAGACTTTTGACCAATAGGAATCAGTTTTGAAGCTTTATATATATAACAACTAATAAATTCTGTTTATTCTTACCTGATAAGGAAAGGCATAAAAGATATCTTCCTTCTCAATAGACAGCAGCTGCCGCTGTGAGACTGAGAGCTTTGAAATGGCAGACTTTAGCGCCGCAATAGCATCCTTATCTACCAGACCGTCTAATGACTTGAAATCACTCTTTTGTAGGCATTCTGAAACAACCTGACATTGCATGTTAGTTGCTTGTGGGTGAACAGCTATCTGATAATCTTCAAGGGTTCCGCATGGACTTCTATCAGAATATCTGATTAATGTTATAGAGATATGGGAATCAGATGAACCACCTTGAAGGTTATGTATCACCTTGGCTTGAAGCAGGAGCAGGAATAGGGTGGTTTTTAGTTGTACGAGTCTGATATTCTCTCTTGCCTCACCCAAGCTGGTAGAAGTCACTTTTTTCCCCTCTCGAAAAACATGGTGGGTATCAGAAGAACCTTACTAGTGTGTGTTTTAAAAACAGAAACTACTTAATTAACTCATCGAGTACCGGTTTTGTAGACACAATTATAGAACAATAGGTTGCGGTCACCGGTGACCGCTTGGTGTTTGACAGTTTAATAAGAATTCAAAGATTTGAAACATGACCAATGAAAGAGGTTTTTAGCACAAAACAGTAAACACTATTTATAGTTTTGGCAAACTCACTTTTATAACAATGAGACAAAATGTTGTTTTCAATCTTTATTTTCTTATTAGTAAGATTAAAAGGTTGTTTACTCGTTTTTACTGCTAACGTCACTCAATATATGAAGTTATTTATATCAACAGCAAGGTATAAACAAAGATATTATTCGAAATGAGTATTGTAATAAGGTGTTTTTCAGAAATCATGGTAATGAGAGAATTTTTGAGGTTTATTAGTCTTAGAATAACTTTTCTAATAAGTAAACAAAAGCATAAATACCTGAACAGCGTGTTTTGATCCTTCAATGAACTCATGTAAGCTGAATTCCTGGTCAAAATAAGGTCTGATGATAAAGTTTGCAAACATCCAATTCTTTATGAACTTGATAAATGAAGGCCACACGATTGGCGGGAATTCCATAAGCTGCGGTAATTTTCGCGTTTCTGTTTCCAAACGCTCCTGGCAGTAATTCCGTAATTGTATAACAGGACATGTTGAGGTTATGGGTATGTGTTTAGATAAAGTTTTATGTGCAAATGTGTCACATAATCTAAAAGATTGTCTCGTCAAGACCCTTCTTATAACTACATTCATATTTTCTGATATATATTACTGGTAAATTACTTTATTTACTGAGTAAAAATGGTAAGCAAAACATTTAAATACTAACTTTTCTATTATCACCAAAACTATTTGTTTTTGTATCAACTGTCACTTGTTTTTGATAATTTTTAGGCTTACTGAATTGTGATTGGATAATATTAAGAAATGTAACTGAGTGTATTGGCTGTTGCTTAACTGCATTATTGCAACACAGAAAACACAGAAAAAATATTGATAACATTATGATTTTGTTGTCTGCACATTAAAAACGGTGATCAACCATAAATAGTGGTATGCTTTTTATATAGTTATTTTTTCTTTAAAAAATATTTTAATAAAATATGTCTGTTAATTTTATTACAAGAGAATCTATCGCCAAAGACAAGTACCTAGGTATTAATTATCTGTTCAATAATAAGCATCTGTCAGCTATCAAATTGGCAGCTGGTGGTGGCAGATGTCAAACTGTAAAGAAAAAGTCGGCTTTCTTTTCGATTTTCGGCGGAAAATGTTGTAAACTTACTTTACAATTTGCAAAGTACTTTTTTCGTAGAGAGAAACATCTCAAATTAAAGCCAACATGGATGACCAAGCCTGTCCACGTTGTAAAACAACGAAATACAGAAATCCATCTCTGAAGTTGATGGTAAACGTATGTGGCCATGCTTTGTGCGAAAGTTGTGTTGATTTGTTGTTTTTAAAAGGTAAGCAGATATTTTTACGCTATCATTTAACATATCATATTTATTACACTCTACAAATAATTCCACTATCGTTTTTAACGCCTTTCAAGTTGACATGTTTAAAGTCACATACAATTTAACTATTTCATTCCAGGCTCAGGATCTTGTCCAGACTGCAACGTACCATTACGGCGAAGTAATTTCAGAGTCCAACTATTCGAAGATCCCATGGTAGAAAAAGAAATTGACATCAGGAAAAGGGTTTTGAAAGACTATAACAAAAAGGAAGAAGATTTCGCCACATTACGTGAATATAATGACTACTTAGAAGAAATAGAAACTATTGTCTATAATTTAACTAATAATATAGATATTGTCGGCACTAATAAACGGATAGAACAGTACAAAAAGGACAATAAAGATATTATAATGAAGAACAAAGTTAAAATTGGTAAGTTGATTACAAAAAGTTTGTTTACCAATTAAGTTTAAATAATTTAGTCCCTTTAAGGACTAAAACAAAGTGTGGGAAAGCCATGCTTCGGCACGAATGTCCATATGTGCCACAATGTAATCTATCACTACACTACTACACTAGTGTATACTATCAAGTGATACTAACAATATTAGATATTAGATCACTTTGTTTATTCCCATTATGAAATGAACTAGGGTATATCATTATTTAACACATTGCATGCCGTGTGGGGACAATTATGATGGACACTAGCGGAGGATTAGCTTTTATCAGTTTTTGTCAGCAGTTAAAGGCTTAATTAAACTTTGAATACTGACAACTCTAAACCATCTTGATTTATTAAATGTAAGTTTAGTTGGTCAAGATCGTAAGTGCATTTAAAATAACATCTATGTTCTGAATTCTATCATGAATAGATATGAATATTTGACATATTTTTATGGAGGACTAGCTTCTGCCAGTGACTTCGCTCAGTCTTGTAGGATAAAAAATAGCCTATGTGTTATTCCAGTGCATATTTAAATTACCTTACTTCTGAATTTTATACTGATACCTTCCACCGTTTTCACATGACGCAGTGACAAACAAATAAAACCGTTTAAAAACTTTCATATAGACAAGATGATGAAAACTGACTGTTAAACATGTGACATTTTCTTTCTTACTACCATTTATCTCTTACAGGCAGAGAAGAAGTAGAATTAGAAGAGATTTTAGAAATAGAGAAGCAGATGGAAGAGCTTCGTAGAGCTGAAATAACACGTTTAGAACAGGAAGCAAAGAAACAGAAGATTAGAGAGAAGGAAGCGTTGATTGATGAGTTGATGTTTGCGGAGGGTGATGCCAAAGACATATTGAATACGTTTGCGCAGAATAAAGCTAGTAAACAAGAGGAGTTGGTTCCTGTGGTGCCTAAGGTATGCACCTTCATTTTTGTTCAATTTACCTATTCTAGAGTGTTTATTAATTCTAGAGTGAGCGTGCTATGACCATTTTGTCTCCCATGCTAAAAAAACAATGATTACTTTTGAAACAATTGCCCAATAGTCTTGCAATTTCTAATAGCTGCCTGTAGGAGACTATGGCAGGCATTGCTAACATTCGTTAGCAATGATTTGACGCTGTAAGTGCGCTAGGGACCAGTCGAGATGTTTGTTACCACCAGGGTGCATGCTCTTGGAACTAATGTCAATGCAATTTCAATATCAAAACTATACAACCCCTCATGTAGGTGTTAAAATAGCATTCAGAGTCCGGAATATAAAGCTAAACTCAATACCGAGAATAATAATAGAGATGAAATTTCGCAATACCAATGTCGATCGATCGGAATTGGATTCAAGAATAAGCCTCCACGTTTGACTGAGCGGCAAAATGATCACCATGCGCCCACTGATGTTTGGCAAAAAGTTGTTGATGATGTTCCCACTCTAGGGTTAAGGAAATCATAGTCTCATTGTTAATATTTAAAGTGCATTACCTAAAAGTCTAATTAGATTATTACAGACACGTATTTTTAAACTGGTATTTGATAATTTTCATAAAATGTAGTGTTCATTATTATGTTTACGGCTTACTCACCTGTTTGACGAGGAACTCGACTAGTTTCAAGCCGCATATTCATGAGCAGCATTCTGCAACCCGCGGCGCGGCGACTGGCGAGTTATAATATAAAATGTAATGTGTTAGTAATTACTAGGTTCTTTTTTTTTTTACAGGTAACACAATTCTCGACGGGTGTGAAATTCACACGAGTGTCGACGCAACCTACGTTACCACTCATAGAAGAGGGCCCGTTGTATAAGTATGAACCGTTGGCCGTGCCGGACAGATGTGGGCCTGATCCACCTTCCATTGAAGATATTGTGGCTTGTGGATATTTGAAGCATGTCAGGTTGGTACTTATTTATTACTTTGACATCCTTGTTGTTGGGATGGCCACTAAGGTCAGGAATTATTTTTTAATTATTATTATTATTTTTAATATTCACCATATTTATTATTTCTAAACTAGCTGTGCCCACGACTTCGTTCGCGTGTAATAGTTATTCACAGCTCCTCCCCCGTAGGTGATAGCGTGATAATATGTAGCCTATATGTTGGACCCGACCTGTTAGTAATATTCATGCAAAATTTGAAGTAAATCTATGTAGTACTTTTTGAGTTCAGCCCAGACATACATACAGAAAATCAGACAAAAATTCCGAAAACCATATTTTTAGCTTCGGCATCGCTTGTAGATCAGGCCCCAAGCTTGTTTTTTTTAAATATGCAGTGTTGTACAGTTTTAACTTTCATACGATTTTATTATAAGTATAGATGGAGACATAGAAACATAAACATATATTGAAGCTTATGCCTTTGTATACAGAGCCGAAACTGAAACGGAGAAGGCCGGTGGCTACAAATCAACATTGCCGTGTCTACGCGCCTTACAAGACGCGTTGACCGGCCTGTATCACGCGAGCTGACCTGACGCGATCAACGCCGATACTGTTATAGTACTAGATTGAGTCAATAGATGGCGGTAGTGTGCCAAAGGGTCTCTAAGGGTGATGTTGATGGTTTTTTAAATGTTTACTGTTATTTTCTTTTGTTTTATTGTTGTCCTAAGTACTATTTGTGTATATTTGTTCCATGCAGAAATCGATACGATGCATTTGTTTTGGTAGCTGCCATTATTTATCGTATGTTCAACGTTAAGTTATCTCTGTTTCTTTATGTTAAAATAATATAAGACGAACATTGATATCCTTCAATCGCATTTAGGAGATATCTAGTTATGTTGAACATACTGTATTTGTATCTAGCTAGTTACTTTTCGGATTAGGATTGTTAAGACTCGAACTGGCAAAGAGTTCGTGTTAATTTTTGCAATATGGGGCATGAATGAGATGTTATGTTATTTGTTTTTTGTGAATATTCAACAGTGCTCACACCATCAGACCTAAAGCTACACTAGCGCCGTTACTCTACTAGTGGGTGTTAGAGGAACTTGTATGATTGTTAACAACAGCTTTTAACAAAACAGTATTGCGTTGAAAAAATAATAATTTGGAAAAGGAATGAGAAACTTGGAGTTTAAATGGAAATATTAACAGCTTTTCAAATCTCTTTAAACTTAACTTTAAAAGAACCTTAAGTCAGGAGCTATTGGATCTATTTTACGTTGACGTTTGTAGAGTCAAAGATGTAGTGATAAGATATTACTGGAGATTTGAATATTTGAATTGAAGAGGAAATATGCTTACTCCACACAACGCCACGTAAATTGAGATTTTCGGTGTTCGAACCATGAAATTAAATGACATATCTAGTAAGAAGTCAGTGTTAAGGCGGCTCTACATAATATATTGGGCCAACACACTGGGCCAATGTGCAGAGACCTACTTGGCGCCATGTCGGCCAATGCTCGCGCCAATATTGGCTGGCCAACCGAATGTTGTCGGTTTTCCGTTCGCATATCAAAGGATCTTGACGCGCTCCACAAATGGCATTCACACATTGGCGTCTCATTCAGTTAGATATCATTCATCAGTAAAGACGGTAATGTCGCGCCGTCGTACATGAATTATTGTTCCTGAATTACAATGGCGTGAACGAACACTGAGATTATTCATTTTATTGAAATGTACAGAAAATAAATTTCGTCACCATTATCATCATTATCAACAGCCTATAAGTAGCTACAGCTGACCAAAGGCCTCTTCTCACACGGAGAAGGTTTGAGCATTAATCACTACGCTTGCTCGATGCGGGTTGGTGATTTCAAAGGACATTTTCAATTCACTATATTGGCCCAATGCGTTGGCCCAGTACGTCCGGCCAATGTGTAAACAGGGACATTTACAATTCACTATATTGGCCCAACGCGCTGGCCCGATTCGTTGGCCCTAATTGTAGAGCCGCCTTTACATTTATGCTTTTAGCGTGGCGTGGTGTGAGATAAATATGTTACCTCAATATTCTTAATAATGTATGTACAAATGCGTGTTGAGTTTTAGATATAGGATAAGTTATTGAAGAAACGAGACTTTACTATCTTTGTGTAATAATGTCTAGCGTACGACTGGTTTCGAGCCACACCGGGGCTCATAAACCTGTGCGCTGTAAAAGATGTTTCAAAGTGTTTGTCTCATTCTTTCTCGTATATCTTCAATATCTCCATCCTTGTCTATGAATGACGTTTCTCTAAGAATGTTGCCAATGTAAATAAATGTACATAAGTGTTAATTTAATGCTAACTTAAGTACTTGTTTAAATACATTGTCGGGTGGTTAGTTACGTTGTTGTGTTGTTATTTGCTGTTGTTTTGTGATAATTAAAGTGAGTGAGATTGAAGTTTGTTGTTTTATTTTGTAAATCATGCAAATGATTAGGTTGGGATAAAGTGTTATTCGTTAAGTCGACTACAGTTGACTTTAACGCCATCTATCAAGACTGATAGAAACAGAGAGTTCTCTCTCCAGATAACAGATGGCGTTTTATAAGATTGAAATGAAAAATTCGCTTGCATTATTTTAGGTAATCTATGCGCGGTGTTCCGCGTAAATAAATGTTTTTTTTCAACTTTGCCTAATCCATCGGAGACAAAAGACATTATAAAAAAAAATACAAAACATTTATTACAATAATTATTTAAGCTTTTGCACACGTAAAGTCTACCTACCTATCTAGATACCTACTTCCTATAGTAGATGGTGAAGTACCTATCTATGTAATGTACCTACTAAAGGTTTTATAACTTTTTACGGTACAGACAGGTGTAAGCAACACTGATAGATAATTCTTTACCGGGAACCACAAAGAACTAAATATTGTAAATTACTATAAAAGCAATGACGAAAAGTCAGTGTTTCTAAACACTTTTTGAACTTTATGCAAAACAATACATAATAAAAAGGTTTAAAACCCAAAATACACCAGGGGACAAATTTCTCGAAACAAGACATAATATCGGCGACATGTCGAGCGAAGCCGGCCGTTATCGTCGCCCCACGAACGATGACAACGCGCAACTTATGTCCATAGTGACGTATTGTTGCCAGACATGTCGACCAAAGTCCGGCAATGTCCCTTCCGCCTCACCCAGGCGGGAGCAGTCATTCGATGATTTTCCCACCTTAAAAAAAAACAAAAGTCCGGCAATGTCATGCTATTTCATCCAGGACAATTGTCCCCTAATATATCCTTGACTTATGACACTTTAGACATTACAATACCTTACCTACATAGGCAATTAGGTAGGTTCTTACAGATGATCAAGTCAAACTTTTGCTGAAAACTCTAGATTTTGCCATCTCAGTTGAAGATAAGCATGATGACACCTACTATGTGTTTTGTTTGTGTCGTTGGCAAATATCTCAATGACCAAATCTCGGGTTATTTAACTCGTAAATGTCCGATTATGAAAAATCCACAACATTTGTTCATGCAAAATTAGTCATCACTTATAACATAAATAGTCAAAAATGGGTGTTACATTGTACAGTGGCATAATGTGCACCTCTGCCTACGCCTGCCGGGATAAAAGGCGTGATGTTATGTTATACGTATATAAAAGTAGTCTCTAAACATCAGAAATAAGTTCTATAATGGCGTAAGTGAAGAGGGGTCATCGGTGACCGCTTCAATCTTGACCAGTTGTGGAATTGTCATAACGCTTCTTTCACTCGAACTCGTAACAATATTGTTGAAAAACATTAATGCAGTGACTGAGAATAAAAATGTACGTAATAGGGATGATGACAGGGTATGAAAATTAAAAATCTAATTAGTCCGTAAGTTAGGTAATGAAAAAATATTAGACACGTATTTTTTTATTTTGTCGTATAATAAAACAATACTTAGATAAAACGAATCAAAGTTTAGGAGTGGGGGCTAAAACGTCATTTCTACGTATAAAATGTACACAGAAGTGACGTCACGCGACATTTCAAATCAATATATCGTCGAAAGTATTCGTTTCTGTGAGAAAATAAAATACGTGTCGAATGATTTAAAATAATCTACCAGACGGACATTAAAATAAAAATTTGTCATCTACCCCATTGAACCGACACAGGTCAAATCATTGAAAGATTGAGAACCGCTTTCCAAAGGTATGTCTTGTGTACCGTAAGGGCGAGCGAGCAAATATTGTCGCACCGATAAAGTGTAAAAGCGCCGCTCGTTGGTACTAAACTATGACAAATATAATGCACTTTGAGTTCTAAAGGGCAGTGTACCTACTGACTGGACTCTTAAGTAGAGGATAGCGGGTTTAAGAAAAAGTGTAATAGGTACAATAATAAAAGAAAAACCTTTTACCTACCACTTCGAGAACTTTAATAAGCGCGAGGATACATGCAATTGGGATGATGACAGGGTATGAAAATTAAAAATCTAATTATTCCGTAAATTAGACAATGAAAAAATATTAGACATGTCTTTTTTTATTTTGTTGTATAATAAAACAATGCTTAGATAAAACGAATCAAAGTTTAGGAGTGGGGGGCCAAAACGTCATTTCTACGTTTAAAATGTACATAGAAGCGATGTCACGCGATATTTCGAATCAATATATCGTCGAAAGTAAGTATTCGTTTCTGTAAGAAATTAAAAAATACGTGTCTAATGATTTAAAATAATCTACCAGACGGACATTAAACTGTCATACACCAAACGGTCACCGGTGACCGCAACCTATTGTTCTATAATTGTGTCTGTATTGACGGTACTCGACGAGTTAAAATACAGATTAGGCATCTACCCTCGAAGAAGCCGATCGCCTTGTCATTGTAGTTGTGTCTGGAATAAGGTACCTACCTACCTACAACTAAAAGAATGAAGAACAGTCCACTTTTGTATTTGTTGACGTTTCAAAAGTACCAAATTATGGTTTAATTGACATAAATGCCTTGACTTTGACCTTTAAGAGAATATTTTTGTTATCTCTCCTTAGTATTTCTTCAATAATATCGCAATACATCAAACCTGGAACAACGAAGTCAAACCCGCAACACGTTGCGCTGCAGCCGATTAAGCCCATGCTACCACAACATCAACCATCAACCGTGCAAGGGAACTTTATAATTATTGAACAACAGCTTTATCCCATAGGAGCATTTAATTGGGATAAAAAGGATCCTATCACCTAAGTCAATCCGTACCCTGCCTGTATATCAAATTTCATCAAAAAGTGTTCAGTTAAAACGCGAAAACGGCTGAACCGATTTGGATAATTTTGGTTTTGAAATGTTAGTGATAGTCTAGGGAAGGTTTAAAAAATTAGAAAAGCTTTCAGAGGCCTTAGTCCGAGTTTATTTTACGTTTAAAGTATTCGGAACAAGTACGCGTTCGGCACTCTGATTGGCCAGCACCAATGAACCAACCAATCAGAGCGCCTAACGCGTACTCGTTACGAATATTATAAACGTAAAACAAACTCATGCTAAGGCCTCAGATTGGTTGTTTCATTCGAGTCGGCCAATCAGAGCGCAGAATGCATACTCGTTTCGAATACTACGTAAACCAAACTCGTACTAAGGCCTCAGCTCAACTAGTTTATAATATTAAAGTGATTTAAACTTTCCCAAAAATTATATCACCATGAATGCACCTTTACTCGAACATAATATGAGTTAGGTTGTCTGTTTGTCTTGTTGATAATAGACACCGAGTGGTCGAGTTGCACCGTCACCTGGCTTTAGGCTCAAAGGAAAACCATTAAAACCTTTGCTGAAAACCTACGTAATAATTTATTTAAGTATTTACAATTTTAAGAAAAAAATATATTTATTAACACGTTAACCGCCACGTAGGTTACCGGTGACTACGTTAGCGGAGGATTTGCCTTCAACAGTTTTCTGTCGGCAGTCAAAGGCTTCAATTAGTTTTATTCTGTTTTTTTATGTTTTATCGAAAACGCTACAATAAAAAAATATTTCATTTACAAAAATAGGCTCAATTTAAACTGTCAAAGACCAAGCGGTCACCGGTGACCGCAACCTATTGTTCTATAATTGTGTCTACATAATTAACTTTTTAAAAAAAATAAAACCGACTTCAAATGCGAGAACACAAAAAAAAAACTAAAAATTAAAAAATAATTCCTAATACCTATTACCTAATACTATAATTTTTCTAAACTATAACAAAGTAATTAAAGTTAAACCATCTAAATATCTTAAAATAGTTATACTTATATACCTACCTATTGTTTTTTGGAGTCGGTGCCAGTAATAAATGAATGAATCATCGGCTTGGTTTGATACACGAGATATCTCGTAACAACTAACGTTCTATTCTTGGGGGTGAAATATAAAAAATAATCGTTCAAATTCCACCCTTGACGGTTGAAATATTTTCTTCAAATTCGCATGAAACCACCCTTTTGATAATACCTATTCAACAAAAAAATAATCGTTCAAATTGGTTCATAATTGGCGGAGATATTGCGTATAAAAAATTTCATCCCCAATTTTCCACCCTTGGGGGTTGAAATATTTTCTTCAAATTCGCATGAAACCATCCTTTTGATAATACCTATTCAACAAAAAAATAATAGTTCAAATTGGTTCATAATCGGCGGAGATATTGCGTATAAAAAAGTTCATCCCCCAATTTTCCACCCTTGGGGGTGAAATATTTTCTTCAAATTCGCATGAAACCACCCTTTTGATAATACCTATTCAATAAAAAAATAATC